TTGAAGGGGAGGAGACGAGTAGCTGGGCCCCCCAGAGGGGCTGGGGTGCGGACCGGGAGCGAGGCGCCTGGCCGGCTTCACCTGGGAGGGAAGTGGCTCTGAGCGAGAGCGGTGACCTTTGCCGCATGAACGAATGAATGACACCGAGCACAGCACGGTCCTCCCTCSGGGTGTTTCAGGCCAGGTGGGAAGGGGGTGGCCTACCCTGCCCCCTCGTTCAGCACCCGGAAGCCTGCTGCAGGTGGCTGACCACTTGTTTCACCTTGGCTGGCACGTGATCTAGGGAAAGCCATGGAACCTTCCATTCATCAGGTGCTTAAAGCATGGTCTGACGTGAGGGGTTCTTTGGGTTTAACCAGCAAAAATGGTCCCAGTTTCCCAGGGCCTGGGGCTTGGGAACTGTTCAGGACAAGGTCCCTGCTTTGAGAAGCCCTCAGCCTAGAATGGGAGACAGGCAGGACCTGAGTGTGATAAGACCCACACCAGGGAGGGACAGGCAGTGGGACAGGAGAAGGGGAAAGGGGCTCCTCACCCAGGATGGGGGAGYCAGAAAACCCTTCTTACAGGAGAGGCCAGAGTCTTAAGGAATGAGTAAAACMCGGTGGAATGAGAGAGAAAAAAGGGTGTTCCAAATGAGGAGGCGGCCTGTGCCATGGTATGGAGGCAGAGTGAGGGGAGCCCCGCCCCCATCCTTCCCAGGGAGGGCTGTGCGCACCCTTTGGTTGGGAGCTGATGCTTGGAACACTTTGGATGCCAGGAATAAATCCAATATCAAACTGGAAACTTACTGTCACCTGACCTCCCCACCCCTGTTAGTGACCAGAGTTTAAACCTTTAAAAAATGAACCCAAGCTGTCTCCTCAGATCTTGGACTGGACGTTGGAGTGAAGCTTAAGGGAACAGGGCAGAGGCCTGTGGGTGAGGAGGCAGAGCCCCACGCCCCTCATTCCTGTCCCAGCTCACCCTCAAGGCTGGCTCAGCAGGCTGAATGGAGCTTCACCTGGGCGGAGGGAGCCTCCCTAGGASGGCTCCACCTTTCAGGTGTCCCTACCTCCCCGAAACTACCACAGGGCTGGGCGGTGACTGGCTGGGCGTGTAGCTACTGAGCAGGGCTCCCCGCCCAAGGAGTGGTGAGGAGGGGCCCAGTCCCCCACGATCAGCTGTCAGCCTCGTCAYGGCCTGTGCTCCAGGCTGCTGTCATCAGGCAAGCTGGAAGGCAGGTGGGGCCAGACTGAGGGTGGAGGGAGCTGAGAGTCAGGCCTCCGTTGCTATAGGAATAATCATCCTAATGACATGCTTGATGGCTGTCATGCTTTACAGTTTCTCTGAACTTTGCCTAATAGTCACAGTGCCCATTAATGGAATGCAAACCACGTGCAGGAGGTGGGAGTTTTTAGTCCCATTTTGTAGATGAGGAACCCAAGGCTCAAAGAGGTTAGTCCTTGTCTGAGCTCCGCAGCTAGTAAGAGGCCAAACTAGAATTTGGACCCAGGTGTGACCTCAAAATCAGACCCCTAACATCACCCCTCACGTGTGTTACTGCATTCAGCTCTCAAACTGCAAGGTGGGCAGGGCCAGGGAGCTGCCTTCCCCATTTTATGGATTTAGGAACTGAGTCTTAGAGAGTGGCCACAGATTGTCTTAGGCCAGCAGGACCAGAGGCAAGATTTGATCTCCTGATGTCCAACCCAGCCTCACCCCACCTTATGCTTGTGCTCCTGCAAGAGGCAGATTAATCACTGGGCCATGGCCATCTGCCCGGTTGGTGAATTTTCCCCCAATCTTCTGGACCACATTGTTTTCCTGGAGTTTACTTTTGGATGGGGTGGTGCCCAGGTCACACAGTCGGCCTGGCCAGGGCACTGTTTACTATTTTGCTGTTTACTGTGGCCACTGTTGATTTTCAGCCTGTGGGTGACTCAGCCCCTCCAGGCCCCACCAATCCTGAGCTGGGAGTCCTTTCTGAATCCCGCAGAGTGAATGACTGCCCCCAAAGAAAACACGGGAGGAGCAGAGAGGCTGGACCAGCCCTCAGTCTTGCAATGCAAGGGACCAGATAGTATGGTTTAGCCCCAGCCAGGGCATGGCCACTTCAAGAGCGGGGACCATGGTAGACTCACTGCTGTGCTCCAGTGTGTGTCAGGTGGGCATGAGCTGTGGTTCAGGATGTTGTGTCCAAGGGAAGGCCTGGCTGGCTGAGCAAGGGGTGGGGAGGAAAAGGATGGAGTGAAGAGGAAGGCGGCGGCAGGCAGGTGTGCTGGCCGAAAGGAACCAAAGCTTGCTGGGATGAGTGTGTGACACACCAGAGGGGGCCTGGCCAGGGCACTGTTCATAGACCGATCCTCAGCCCCTTCCTGCTCCCCAGCTTCTGCCCCATTCCCGACACCCTGTCCCCACCTTCCTGAGTCTGATTCCCAGGAGTCTCTGCCTGTCCCAGTCGATTCTCTGCTGCCCCCGTGTGGTCTCTGCGCTGCCATCACTGCAGTTGCCTGCTGGGCCTGGGGTTTCCCGCTTGGGGTATGGGGTGTTCCTAGGTGCCTGAATGAGGAAGGAAGTGCAGGCCAGGGGAGCAGAGCCTCAGAGATGCCTGGGTCCTGCCCCTGGGTTACCTGGAGTGTAGTTTACAAAGCACTGGCTCCATACACCTCCTCTGGACCCTCCCCTCTCATCCCAAACTTCAGATCCTGGAGCTCAGCCTGAACTTCTTCACCCCAAACCTTGACCTCACATTTGCCACATACCTACTGCGTGCCAGGCACTTGGCCTGTGTCATCCTATTACACCTGATGAAGCATGTACAATTCCTACACTTCTTTGACAAGTGAGGAAACTGAGACCCAAAGAGGGCAGATTATTTGCTCAGAGTCCCATGGTTGGTACATGGAAGAGCTGGGCCTTAAACCCAGGCAGCTGGGTTCCAGAGCCCATCCACACAGAACCCCCCAAAATCAGAGGTGTGGGGGCCTGATTTTTTTAAATATATGTTTTGATTTTTAGTTGTAGTTGGACACGATACCTTTATTTTATTTATTTATTTTTACGTGGTGGTGCCTTGCATATGCCAGGCGAGCGCTCTATCGCTTAGCCACAACCCCATCCCTTGATGAGCTGTCTTGTTCCATATTCTCATTCTTCAAGTGGAGAGACTGAGGCCCCAAGAGGGGAAGAAACTTGTCACACAGAAAGCAAGCAGCGGACCAGACCCAGGGTGATGGCAGACAGAACCTGGAGGGCCTCTTCTTCCAAGCCTCCTTCGTCTGGCCTCCTCCAGGCCAGCCCCAACAGCCGTGCCTGCCTCCTCTCCCTGCCTTATTGGTGTTGGACTTTCTGGGGGATAGTGGGTCAGTAATGGGGTGGAGAGGCGGGAGTCCTGTGATCCAGCTCAGTGCCACTTAGCCTTTTAGCTGGTTGTCCCTGTGGACGCATATAGCAAGGGGGTAGAAGAGAAGTGGGAGCCAAGGTCAACCATGGCTGTGACAGTGGCTCAGCCTACGCAGGCCTGGCCCAGGCCATGCTGCTGGTCAGGTCAGTGACCCCCACACCTGTCTCCTTTTGTCCCAGACAAAAGGGGCCTGGGACCTTGCAGGCCTGTGGCGGGGGGCTGGAGGATTAGGGTAGAGGAAGGGACAGGAGGAGAGGGGAGCCTGGGGAGGGGGTCAGAGAAGAGCTGGAAACCAGTCAAGAAGATCATGAGACAAGATGGGGAGAAGCAGCTTTTCCCAACCTGGGGGGACGCCTCAGTTGGTGTCCTGCTAAATGAACCCCAAACCTAAAGGAAGCTCAAAAGCCTCCTGCCTGCCCCTCACTGATCAGGAGCATTGTCACCATTAAAGCCCCCACCCTCCCTCAGGGCTGATTCCAATGAGGATGCCTCCCTGGCTCCGCGCTGCCAGTACGACAAGGACCTTCTGCCTGCCTAGGAAGCCTAAGTCCCCAGAGTCCATCCCCAGGGGTTCTCGGGCCTCGGTTCAGGCGTGTCCCTAGATGCGTGCAATACCTTTGTTCAGGCAGTTTGGGGCCCCCTCCCTCCTCCATGTACAATGCTGCCCTGTAAGGCCAGGGCTGCTGCTCCCACCTGCTCCAGGAAGCCCTCCCTGCTCTCGGCCCTTTCGTGTCCCTGGAATAGCCTGTCTTCAGTCACCTCTGTCTGCCCAGTTGACATGGGGCTTCCACAGAGCCTCCTGGTGGGACAGGCCTTCTGGGGGGTTCTGGGGATCCTTACCCAGCTCATCCTTTCCCTTGCTTGTGGGAAGGGGGAAGCCAGAGAGAGCATCTTGGAATCCAGAGGAACATATCTGCTGCCTCTCAGTCCCATCTCTGGGAGATGAGAGAAAGGGGCAGTGCTGCCTAGTGGTCAAGGGCATGGGTCCTGGGCCAGAGAGCCTGAACTGGAATCCTGGCTCTGGGACTTTCTGACTGTGCCATCTTAGGCTGGCTACCTAGTTTTTCTGAGTTCTCATCTATGGAAAGGGGATGCCAACAGCACCTCCTGCTAAGCGCTGTGGGGCTGCAGGCCAGGCACCAGCCCTCACTGAAGCGCAAGGCCCTCCCCCTCTCTGGGCCTCTCCCCATCTCCGGCTCTGCTCTACAAAGGTGGGGAAGTTGGCCCAGGTTGGCCCTCTCCTGCCCTTGGCATCTGCTATTCTCTCTGCCGGGAATGCTCCTGCCTCATCCACCTGACATGCTTTTGCCCTGAGGGCTCAGCTGAGTGCCACCACCAAGGAGTCTTCTTAGATTTCCCATCACCACCCTCCCCTGCGAGGGTAGGCTCGGGGCTCCTCTTCAGAGCTTCCCAAGCAGCTTGATGGCATTGGTCCTATCGATGACCCCTCAGCCAGGCAGAGGCCTCCTGCCCTGCGTACCCAGCAGCAGGGGAAGCAGGGCGTGCTGTGACCCCACGAAGCCTGAGAGCCTGGTTCCTGCAGAAGAGACGAAGGTGATTTGGGGCCAGGCAGGGCCCCCTGGATGCCCTGCTTCCTGCCCCAGCTTTATTTTGGTTTTAGAATCATTCCAGTCAGCATTCTCCATCGCCACCATGGCCACCTGGGTACACAGTCCACATGTCATGCAGTTAGAGGGAGGGAGAGGGGAAAGGAGCAGGTGGGAAGACATGGCCTGCACTGCAAAGCCAGGGGGTGTGTCCCCTGGCCCTGTGGTGCTGGCCAAGGGTGGACAGCCTGGCCTCAGGCTGGGTCCTGGTTGTGTTAAGTGTGTCCTGCCTCCAGCCCATGACCCTTCTGGGCACTGTTCTAGCCACTCCTACCTCCATGTCATCAGCAGTAGCTGGTTGGACCTGGGTCTCCACAGCTCACCAGAGCTGAGGAAGAGGCAGTGCCCCTGTCATCTGTGGGTGGCTTCAGAGATGGCACTGCAGCTCTGTACCCTGACCACCCTGCCCCCAGTCATCCCTTTAAAGCTGCAGAGCTGCCTCCTCATCCTGTGACACCTGGAGGGGCAGGACACCCTCACTGCACCTGGGGATGTAGCAGCCCAGTCCCTTTGCTTCTGGACAGGACCCTGGGTTGGGGGTGCCACTCCTCCCTCCAGAGCTTCCCCAGCCAACAGGCTGCGACTGGATGATTCCTGAAGCCACAGTGTTGGGGAGCTTGAGCCGGGATGCCCAGTGGTCTGGGCGTGGGAACCAGGCTACCTAAAGCATCTCTCTTCCCCACAGGGCCCATGCTGAGGGACGCCAGCAAACATCTGGATCCAATGACTGATTTGCATGGGAGCAGCCCGAGGACCTGGGTCTGGGTCTCTGTGGACCTCTGGCTCCTGCAATGGATGAGGATAAAGGGAAGGAGATTTCACAGAGAATAATCCTGGAGCCTCCATTTGGCCCATAGACTTCSGTTTGGACCTGGTCTCTGGGTCTCTTCTACAGTCCCCAGAGAGGCCCCTGTGGCCCAGCAGGGGGCTGAGAACCAAGTTTGTGATGGGAAGTTCCTGTCCTTGCCAGTGCCTTGCTGTGCCCCCTGCCTGAGACACTCAGGCCGCTCCTACCCCTAAATGCAGCTCCTTCCTTGTCTAAGGGGCCCTCCAAGTTCCCCCAGCCCCAGGAGCCTCTCCCCAAGAGCCTGCTGTCATTTGGCACTGGGCAGATTACCTGGGGCAGGGGGATTTTGACTTCCTGACGGCCCAGGGACCTGTGTCTTGTTCGTGTTTCCCCTGCCAGTTCCTAGCACAGTGTCTGGCCCCCAAGATTCTTGGGGGGGGGGCCCAGTGCACGGCTTGTCACTGGCCTCCCAGGAGGTGGGGGTGGGGCTTGCCAGCTCTGAGAGGCCAAGTCCCTGCACACCAAGGACAGGCCTCATGAGGATCTGGAGGTGGTGCACAATTGGCCAGTGTCAGCTGCCCCCTCTGGGCCCCGGCCCAGCCATAGCTGGTCCGCAGCAGAAGACCCTGGGTTCCCAGACAGAGGGTCCAAGTTGGCTGATGGGGACTCCCTCAGGGTACCCTAGTGTCCGCAGCTCCAGCTGGTCAATGGAGAGGGCATTGGATAGAGTGAGTGGGCACCAGGCTCTAGAGGCTCCGCCGTCCTCCTGGCCTGCCCTGGCTGCTAGTTTCGCCGGACAGGGTGCCACATGGACACAGGCCTGCGCAGTGTGGCCAGCATCTGGTTCCAGTGTGTGGTGCCCATGCCACTGGCTGATGGCCCGATGATAACGTGGCCCACGTTGTCCCCACGGCCGTCACTGCTGCTCTCAGCCACTGTCACACGGAGAGATAGGTCCTAGGGAGGAGATGACATGGGTGCTGGGGACCAGGAGCAGCCAGAGTTCCTCCTTGGCTCTTGGGTCCAGCCAAAGAATGCCAGACCCCATGAGGTGCCAGTGCAGCCCCCCAGTACTCACCTCTGATCTGGGGGGCGAGAGGTCGCCTGGCAAATACATGAGAGGCAAGGATTTGACCTAGATCTACCTAATTTCCATACAATGGCAGAACCAGACCRGGGGGTTCGAAGGCGGCCCCTGACTTCCCTGCTGGGCGAGCTTGGGCAGTGACTTGAGCTCTTCTACCTGTTCCTCCATCCATACAATGTGACAGCCGTCCCTACCCCCCAGAGCTGTTCCAGGGATGAAATGAGTTACAATGCCTGGAAAGGGGCTGTGGCCAGAACTTGCAGGGGTCTCTTGTTTTCAGGAGTGTAATCATCCCCTTGGACTGGCCACAGGGGAAGGGCCCGATGCTCCAGGTGAAGGCAGGAAGCCGAACCTGGAACCCAGCTGCCTGGCCCTCCTCCCCCAGGGGCCCTACAAAAGTCTCTTGCCCTTGGAGGCTATGAGTGGTGGCTCAGTGATAGCCAGGGGATAGCAAGGGCAATCTGTCCCAGGAGGGTAGCAGGGCTGTGATGGCCAGGACCGGCTGGAGATGCCCCTGGAAACACCCACAGTGGGGCAGAGTTCTGAGTTTTCAAATTCAGATGGGGCACCCTGGGTGGGGGAGATGAGGTAGCCTCTGCACAGCCCCAGAGCTATGGGGACAGGCTTTGACCCAAGGCACAGAGGACCTTTTCACTATCACAAGTTCCTAAGGATGGAAGGAGAAAGTGAGGGGAGAGGGTGGAGCCCCCATCCTCTGAGGCTTGTAAGCAGAGCCACCCATGGGCGCAGCCTCCCCAACTGTGGTCTGTGACGGCCCTACTGGGAGAGGTCTCCCTACAGCATGTCATTCTCTGGAAGCTATGGGGGTGTGGGGTGCACAGCAGGGCCTCTGCTGTAGAATTCCAAGAGAGCTAGGGCTAGAACTCTGGGCCCTGGGGGACCCCTACCTGTCTCCGGGCTTCCMAAACTGCCTGCACTGGGATCTGTCTTCCCCCAGGCCTGGCTGAGCGATGCTAAAGTCCAGGATGCATTTAATGATTAACGTTGTCTTCGGACTTTCCTCTTTTGTGAGCACCAAGAAAACAGTGCCCCTGTCCCCAGAAAGCAGTGCCCATGTCCCCAAACATCCCCTGCAGGGCTGGCCCCCAGTGGGAGCTCAACGTGAGCTTCTCAACTAGAAAGATGATGACTTGAGGCAAATCATTTCTACCTCCAGGATCCCTGAGAAGCTGACCCCGAGGGCCACCGTGGCCCCACACCCTCACCTGGAGCACAATGGCTGGCACCGAGAAGATCATGGCTTCGTTGAACACTGGGTTGGGGTCATCCCTCTTCACGGCTGTCTTCTTCTTGCTCATCTTCCTCCCATCCTGCAGCAGGTACACCTTCACAAAGGGGTCTGCAGGCAGGTTGGGTGGAGGGTGAGTGCTGGTGCCACACTTGCTGGCACAGCCCTGCCCACTCTGGCTCGGCCCACTGACCCCAACACCCAACCCTCTGCTGTCAAAGTTGTCTCCACCAGCCCTGCCACTGGGGTTCACTTGTTCATTCATTTATAAGAGGTGGGGTCTCCTTGTGTTGCCCAGCTCCTGGGCTCAAGGGAGCTCCTGCCTCAGCCCCTACCCCAAGCAGCTGGGACTACAGATGTGCACCATGGATGGCATCTGGCTCTACTATTTTGAAGCACTGATCTTTTTTTTTTTTTTTTTTTTTTTTTTTTTTTTTTTTTGTGGGGCAGATGCTGGGGATTGAACTCAGGGCACTTGGCCACTGAGCCACATCCCCAGCTCTAGTTTTTATTTTTTATTTAGAGACAGGGTCTCACTGAGTTGCTTATTACTTTGTTTCTGCTGATGCTGGCTTTGAATTTGTGATCCTCCTGCCTCTGCCTCGAGCTGCTGGGATTACAGTGTGCACCACCATGCCCGGCTGGCTCTGTTATTTTGAATCTCATCTTCCAGGTGACATCATTGAAGCTCACGTGGCAGGTCAGGAGAGGGCTGGGCCCTGGACTCCGGTGGCTGGCCTCGCAGCCCACATATTCATATAGGAGCCTGGCAGACTCACCACTTTCCATTCTATAAATGGCCTGAGAGCAGACGTCAGCCCTGAGTCACCGGGTGCCAGCGCAGCAGAGCCTAACAGTGTGCTGCTCTGAAATACCAAGTCACTGACTGCCATAAACCTCGCCCACCAGGCAGTCTTGCTGCACCTGCCTGGACCTGGGCACCCCCAGGCTTGCAACTCCCAATAGCCAGGAGCCCCCAGCCTTCTGTTCTTTGGCTATTCATCGTAGCTGCCTCCACAGATTCCTGAATTGAGAGGGGCTCGAAGCTTCTGTAGAGCTGGGACATTGGGTCCTGCCTGGCAATCACCTGGAGCTTCCATCATGAACTCTGGTTCCGAGAGCAGGAGCAGACCTTGGTCCCAAGTGCTGGCCCCTAGCCGGATTCATCTTCCCACTGTGCCCAGATCCTGGGCTCAGCAGAATCCAGGGTGCTTTGGCCCTGTCCCCACCCCTGCTGATGCTGCCAGGTGCCCACAGCACAGGGGCTGGGCCACGGCTTCCCCTGAGCCCCCAGGAAGCCAGCAGGGGCTTACCTGCTGTGGTCTTGTCGTTGGTCCAGATAAGATTCTTGGCCTTTACCACCACCACGGTGAGGCGCTCAGCTGTGGGCAGGTAGCTGAGGGACAGCAGGATCTCTCCCACTGCGTCAGCAGCCTGGGGGACAGGGGTAGCTCAGAAGGCTTCTGACCCTAGGACCTGAGGGGCCCAGGGAAAGACAGAAGCTTCCTTCTCCATTGAAAACTTGTTGCTTTGGGGGGCCCTTTACGGCTGGGCATCAGGTTGGCAGGGTCAACTATGGGACAGTCCCCCCCACCCCAACACCATGGAGCATTCCCCACTCCTCCTCCCGTGGAAGGAGGTTCGGAAGTTGCCTATCAAACATATCTATCAAATGCAGTTTTGTTCCCTCATTCCAGGCCAAGGAAAAGATTCTGTGACAGTAGTGCATAGGGATCCTAGTAGAAAGGGAGTAAATCATTTGCTTTACAACAATAATGTTCCACTGGTAGTCTTACATTTATAAAAGTAAGATTCAGCTTGGCCTCTGTCCGAAATAACCCACTTTAGGGCCAGAGGTGTGCATCCCTAAMGAAGGCTTGCAGGAGGAGAGCCTCTGAAGGCTTGATGGTAAGAGCAGAAAGGCTGTAAACAGTGGTGAGAGTGTAAACAGGATGCAGGAAGCAGAGTTTCCCCAAATGTAACTCAGGTCTCTTCCTCTGCTCTCCTAATGATGTTGGGGTTCGGGGTGTGAAGAAAAGACAGTAGAATCCTTCATTGGAAGTGTATGTGTGTGTGCTGTCGCCAGGAGGGAACAGGCAGGACGAGGCAGGTGAGAATTACCTTGTTCTGGTCCTGTAAGTAGAGCCAGCCGCTGAAGGGCTGCAGGGGCAGGTCCAGTACCGAGAGCTTCAGCTCTACCACCCCGGTGCTGACGTTCCTCTCATCCTCGTCAATGCCAAACACGGAAAACCGCAGGCTCTTCTCCTCCAGGGCCGTGGGATCCAGCGGGATGGAGAACTTCTCATCGAAGAAGATGGAGTAGGCATTCCTCTGGATCTGCAGAGAGGGAGGCCGTGGCTGAGGAAGAGAGTGGCAGCCAGGGGCCTGAGGGGCCACAGTAGCGAGAGAGCAATGGACAGGGAGTCCAGAGACCTGGGGCTCTCTTGTCCCCACAATCTCAACATCACCGTTCCTTTGGCGGCTCAGCCCTGGAGGTTTATGAGCCACACATCCTTCCTCAGTGGTGTGGCCTGCCCTGGCATCTGTAGCCTCCACAGTCTGATCCCAAACCATCCCCGTTCTCAGTGCGTGTAGCCCCACAGAGCCCCTCTGACTGAACTGGTTGCCATCTTTTTTGCATATGCTTGGGCCCAGCCCTGGGCCAGGCGTGCAATGGCAGGGTGGTGGGGATGTCTGTGGAGCCACAGACTCCAGCCCCCTGCAGAGACTGGCCCTGCTGCGGAGCCCCGCAGGACGGATGGAGGATGGATGTGGATGACGGATGGGCAGATGGGTGGAGTGACTAAGCAAGGCTAGGCAGCCTCCTAGCTCAGTCCTGTCTAGTGGGTGCAGTTGGCCTTCTCCCAGGAAGCCGCGGGCAGGCCCCCTGGGAAGGTGCTCTCCCTTCTGTGGGGGCTGCCTTAGTCACTGCCTGGCAATATTTAAAAGAAGAGTTCTTATTCCTGGCATYCTCTTGGCAGCTGGGGGCTGCCCAGCCTGGAGGCAGCAACCTTGCGGGATTGGCTGGGCTGCGAGGCTCTGCCTCCCGCCTTCCTAGGAACAAATCCTCCACCGCCTCCAGCACTGTGACCACACTCTCCTGCTGCTGCCTGGTGCTCTCCGGGAGCCCCGTTGCCCACACAATCCCCTACTCAAGCCTCTAAGCATTCAATCAGCCTCTTAGCTGACCCCTGCCTGTAGGGATTTGGGTTCCCAACTATTCACTCCCAGAGCAATGTGTGGAGGGCCCCATGGTAGAGGCGGAGAACCCTGGGTTCTAGTCCCCAGTCTCCAGCTTAGTTGCTGGGGTTGGTTGTCCTGGGCAAACAGTCTCCAAGCCTGGGCTCCTCCTCTGTATGATGCCCTGATATGAGCTCCTCCTCTGTATGAGCCCCGTTGGCCCCGAGGGCTCATGAGAGGACCAGGAAGGAGCTGGGCTCTGGAAGCAGGTTCTCAGCACCCACCAGGCCGCAGCAGCTGCTGTTCACCAACAGCCTGCCTTGGAGACCAGGCACAGGGGGGTCAGAAGGTACTTGGTCTTGAAAGTCCTCAGGCTCCTCTCACTYTGAGAGGCCACTGTGTGTGGCCCTCATCCATCTCCTGGCTTTAGTGTCTAAATGGATGTCCTCCAAGGTACTCTTGGAGGGCAGGCTGAGGCCTCCCCTGGCCACTCCCTGTTGACTCTTTCTGCTTCTTTAATCTACTCTCAGCCCAGGAGCTGATCTCCATGGATTCCCTTGGCCTTTGGCTTCCTGTCAGGTCAGTGCCTGGGGTCAACAGAGGAAGACTGGAGGTCAGAGGAAGGTCAGAGTGCTTGTTCCCTGAAGTCCTTCTCTGTAGTATCCCTGGGCTGACCATGTTGGCCCTCTCCACTGGTCTCCCCTCTTCCCTTCCGGCCTAGGGTACCATACCCTCCCCAAGGCTGCCCCCTCCCTACCCACACCACTGCAAATAGTCTTGTTATAAGCCTTCCCCCAATTAGCCAAGTGAGCATGTCACTCCTCTGCTGCCAGGCCCGTGTTGACGGACAGACTTGGAGGTGCACCGGGCCTGTACACTGTGTGGGCCTCACATACTCCCCTTCTGCCTGCAGGACCCCCTGCATCTTTGGCCCTGGATCAGCACCAGACCCACTCTCTAGCGCCCTCGAGGGACCCTGCCTGACCCTGAAGTGTGGCCTCCGCCCTCCCCAGCCCCACTTACCCTGGAAATGCCCACGATCTGCTCGTCRGGCAGCAGGCTCACGCGCATGAAGCAGGACTCGAAGCTGGCTTCCTCGCGCTCCAGGAGGTCCTTGCCCTGCAGCACGGCCACGTGGAGGGTGTGGGAGGCTGGGTCGTAGTCCATGCTCACCTCCACCTGGCCCAGCGTGAAGTCCTGCCCGAAGGTGTTGCTCACGGAGGAGATGGAGTTCAGGGAGTCGGCYGACTGGGATTTCCGGAGGGTCCCATAGGGGGCCAGGTCCAGCTCGCGGCCCATCAGCTCCAGCGGCCCCAGCTCACTGATGGCCTCAAAGTTGTCCTCGATGCTGAGGCTGCCCTTGCGACTGGGTGGTCCCCGAGTCCTGGCCCGATGGGTGTTCCAGGCAGGCATTGTCTGGGGGTGAGAAAAAGGGACATAGGAACTTCACAAGGGCCACAGTCGTGGTCTCTAGGAGGCAGCAAAGAGACGTGGTGGGTGAGCACCATTCAGGGTACCTTCTTGTTCCCTTTCACAAAACCAGTGCATCCCCAGCCAGCAAGGTCCTTGCTTAGTGCTATTTTATGTCACTTAGAATTTTTTTCTTTTACCATAATATCAGGAGCTTTTCCTTAGTATGCTTATTATAGGGACGGAATTCCATATATAAAGATGTTAAAAYTGGGAGCAGTAGTGCACGCCTGTAATCCCAGCGACTCAGGAGGCTGAAGCAGGAGGATCACAAGTTCTGGCCTGGGCAACTTAGTGAGACCCTGTCTCAAAAAGAAAAAAAAAAAAAAAAGGACTGAGGATGCCGCTCAGTGGCTGAGTGCCGCTGGGTTCAATCCCTGGTATCCCCTAACCGTGTTCAAGATGTCAACTACAATGATTTTGTTTGTTTGGAGCACTGGGGTTTGAACTCAAGGGCACTCGACCACTGAGCCACATCCCCAGCTCTATTTGTGTTTTATTTTGAGACAGGTTCTCACTGAGTTGCTTAGTGCCTTGCTTTTGCTGAGGTTGGCTTTGAACTTGTGCTCCTCCTGCCTCAGCCTCCTGAGCTGCTGGGATTACAGGCTTGCATGCCATGCCTGGCTTACCATGGTATTTCTAAAAGAGAAGAGCAGTCAGTAACCTAACTGTCCAGCAGAGGAGAATGGGTAGGGACAGTAGGGTGTAGCCACTTAACAGATGATTGGATAGCCTCAAAAGGATACAAAAGTTCACAGCACCAGGGAGATTTCATGCTGGGTGACACCCAAACATTTGAAATTTTCTTTTCTCTAAATTAACCTCAGGATTTGAGGAAGCAAAAGCCTGTATATCATGTCTTTGTTAACATAATTTTTTATGGCTCCCAAATTTTTCATTGAGCAGATAGGCATAATTTATTTCACTAACCCCCTATTGTTAGAAAGTTTTGTTGTTTCTAATATTCACAAATGCAAATAACATATTATCACACAGCTGTCTTAAAATCCTGGCCCAGAGGACAGTCCTTTTTGAAGGTTTTTTTCTTTTTTTTTTGTGTGTGTGTGTGTGTGTGTGTGTGTGTGCGCGCGCGCGCATGCGTGCACATGTGTATATGCTGGGGATTAAACCCAAAAGCATCCTACCACTGAGCCACATCCCCAGCCCTTTTTATTTTATATTTTGAGACAGGGTCCACCTGAGTTGCTTAGGGCCTTTCCAAGTTGCTAAGGCTGGCCTGGGACTTTGTGCCTTGTACGTGCCAGGTGAGCGCTCTTCCTCTGAGCCACAACTCCAGCTCCTGGCCTGGGACTTTTGACCTCCCGAGTCACTAGGATTACAGGTATGGGCCTGGCTGAAGGCTTTTGACATGTTTCAAAATGCTCTTTGGAAAAGTTGTCCCAATTTATAGTCCTCCCAACAGAAAATGAGATGGTCCTCCTTGGCACCTCAAATGAGAAACTCCAATCTGGTAATAGGTTCATGATATGTTGTCTGGAACTCTACATGACATTTGAATAATTGTCTGCCAAATGTTAAGTGACAAAACATTCAGCAATATGTACTGATAGCCTTAAAAATGTTGTACCTCTCGATAAAGTAATTTCACATCTGGGCATCTATCCAAAGTCCATTATCCCAAATGAAGATAAAGTTTTACATACAAAATATCCACTGCATTATTTATGAAGGCATTTAGTAAACCATGGCACAAGCACAAAAAGAGGAATCATATGCAGCCATTAAAATGATKCTTACAATGACTGTTCAACCAGGGGGAAAACACTGCAGCTGCAAGTGAGGTGGAAAGAACAGGGCGTAAAAACCCAGGGAGATACGATGCACTTTGTATAGAAAGCTTGTATGGCAAATGACTAAGGGAGTCAAACCCAGTGCTGCACACCTGTAATCCCAGAAACTCAGAGGCTGAGGCAGGAGGATTGCAAGTTGGAGACCAGCCTCAGCACCTTAGTAAGACCCTGTCTCGAAAAATAAAAAGGGTTGGAGCATCCCTGGGTTCAAAATAATAGTATAATTTAAAAAAAAAAAAAGGAGAAGAAGAAGAAGGAAGAGGAGAGGGAGAAGGAAAGAAGAGAAGGAAAGAACTAAGGGGGATAGATTAAAAACATTGAAAAAATACATCAAAATGTTCGTTTAAAATAGTTAACAGTAGGGTGTGTCATTTGAAGAGATGTTTTTCTTCTTATTTTATTTATGTATTTTTCTCAGCATAGTTTTTAAAATCGAAAGCATTCATTCATTCAAGCATTTGTGGACTCCCTGGCACTGGGCGGGAGTTGAAGAGCTTCTCCATCCAGGAGAAGAGTTGACCAAGAGGGGGCAAGAGAGGGGAGGCACTGGAGGCCGGTCCTGAGGGTGGACCTGGGGGGAATGTACCTGCAGGAGCAGAAACCTCACCTTTGGCCTGGCCTCCGCGGAGGTCTCGCCATACTTCTGCTGAAGGTACCTGTAGTCATAATTTGGGAATGGGGAGGGGCTGGGGAAGCTGCCCGATGTCCAGAGCTTCCACAGGCTCACAGCTGCGATTCCCAGCAGGGCCAGGGCCCCTGCAGCGTAGACTCCCACCTCCCAGCCAGGGGGGCTCTTGATGACTGTAAGGCAAGGGCAGCCTCTCATTAGTGGGGCTCAGTGGTCCAGACCCCCACCCAGGAAGCAGGATCTCAGTATTGATTTATTCATTGAGTGAATTGTTATTGAGGGCCTACTGTGTGCAAGGCTCAGTCCTCGGTRCTAGGATACAGTGCTGAACAGGACACACACTTTCTGGAGGTATCTGTTTCTACCTCCTTTGGACACAAAAACATGTGTTCCTACTGCGGAGACACTTGGTCAGAGCAGATGAAGAGCTGTGAACGACGGTCACATACTCCTTAGGCTCTAACAACCGTTCTCGGACCTCGCGGCCTTCATAGGACCTCTTGCTTCCAGAGTCAAAGCAGCATTTAGGGGTCTGAGGGAAGAGGAAGGAGATTTGGGGGAGTAAAAGATGATCCTGTTTTTGCCTGAAGCCTCAGCCAGAACAACCCATCAACTGATGATGGAAAAACGGAGTCTAGTGCATCCCGACCACCAGGATGCTCTTTGGCAATACGAAGGRAAGAAGCGTGGATACCAAAACATCCTAACGCGAAGGAACCTTGAAAACATCATGCGGAGCGAAAGCAGCCAGTTGCAAAGACCACGTGGGGTGTGATTCCGTTCACCGCCAGCCTTCTGGTCTGTGGGTTCCACATCTGTGGACTCAACCGATCCCAGACGGTGTGCTGTGTGGTAGGCCTGCGACGGTACCAAAAAGGCACAGACTTTTTTTCTTCTTGTTCCCTAAACCACACATCATAACAACTATTCACACAGCATTGACATTGTAATCTCAAGGTAATTTGGAGGATGTGTGCAGGTTATGTGCAAATTCTACGTGGTTCTATAGTAGGCACTCAGCATCCGTGGATTTGGTACGTGAGTCCTGAAGGAATGCCCTGAGATGGCAGGGCACATGGGTATAAGGAAATATCTAGAGGAAGTTGGGCAAATAGGGGAACTTGGGGGAAATAGAGTTTCTTTTTGAGGCGTTATAAAATATTCTAAAAATTGATCTTGCTGCTGGTGGTACAATATACTAAAAGCCACTGACAGTACACATTAAGATGGGTGAATTAGGCTGTATGTAAATCTTATCTCAATAAATCTCTTGCCCCAAACCAACAAATCAAGAAACCAACTCAGCCAATGTGAAAGGATCATAGAGCTGTGGAGGGCTTAGAGACAAATCCAGATGTCCAGAAACTTTCCTCCATTGATGAGTTCATAACTTTCCCTGTCTGCACTCCACTGTCTCCAGTGCTCCCTCAACCGTGTGTGCTGGGTCCTGCCCAGCGCCCTGCATGGCCTCCAATGCCCAAACAGAGGCTGAAAGGTGAGGCCTCACTTGCTTGACGACCTGGCTTTGCTTTCCAAAGAAAGTAGACCAGATACTGGAATTCCCTGGGCAGGAGCTCACACTATGGTCGAACACAATTCTCTAGACTGTTGTCAGTTCTGCCTCTGCACCCAGCTCAAATAGGGACACTGAGGCATGGAAAGACTCAAGAACCTGTCCAGGTCACAGAGCCAGGAAGGGGGTGGTGCTGGGACTCCCACTCTCGTAGACAGATTCCAGGGCAGGCGAGGTAACCACTGCCCCGCGCAGCCTCCACCTGTCCTAGCTCTCTAGAAGCAAGCCGAAGAGACGGGGCAGGGCATTTCAGAGGCAGAAATGGATGACTGAACACGCACTGAGCACCTACTGTGTGCCAGCACCCTGTGGACGGGGGGAACCAGGGCTGACAAATCAACCCCAGGCCCTATCCCTGTACTTAAGTGGCTCACAGTTAGGGCATGGGTGGGACAGGGAAATAAGAAAACAAAACGGGGTGCCTGCTGTCATGCCCAGGGCAGCCCAGGAAGGTTTCCTGGAGGAGAAGCAAGAAGGGGCCAAGTCAAAATGTCAGGGCAGGAAAGATGGAGGAGGTATGAAGAACTCAGAGTGAGCAGAGGGCCCAGTGGGAGGAAGGGGGGCCCTGGGGACTGGGGGAGGCCCCTTACCCTTGCTGCCCCAAAGCCAGCTGCACAGGAGGGAATCAGGCAGGGCCACTTCTAGCAGAATCCGCCCTCTCTGGAGAGGGTCAGGGCCGTCAGACCCCACATTCACCAGCACTGAGCACTCTATCAGGTCCTTACCTCCACTTGCAGAGGAGAACTGAGGCAGAGAGCCCCCCCCCGGCATGTCTACCCTGATGCTCAAGGCCACAGACCTCCCAGGCCAGTCACCCAGCCTCTCTGGGCTTCAGTATCCTCATCCAGAAACTGGAGATGGTGATAAAAATACCCCCTCTCTAGTGGTCCCACCCTGGCGTGTGAATTCTAAGGGGAAAAAAATCCCAACAAGTTTTATGTGTGGTGTGAGTCATGAGGCTGTATTTATAACAGCAGAGATCTGGAAAGAGCCTACAGGGCCCACCAAGGAGGCTGGTGGGGGCTGTGGTACTGTCACGGGAGGTAATGTCACTGGCCTTCGAGAATGACAAGTGAGGTCATTAGGATGGCCTGTGGCAATGCAGAGAAACATTGGCAGCCTCGTTAAGAGAGAGAGAAAAAAAAAATCAATCCCAGCATGATATAATCATGGGAGATTTTGATGTAAAAACTCAGCTGGTAATGCACAAGGCCGTGCAGTCCGGGGGGGAACAGAGAGACCAGGTAGTGAGGCTGAGGGCACAGGGAGCAGACCTGTTTCCTCCCGACTGCTGTTGATACAATGTGGTTATCAAACCACAAGCAAGAGTTCTATGGAGGGTCCCAGGCCCAGCTGTGACAAGGTTCTGGAGTGTTCTTGGAGTCTGGTGAACAGAGGACAGGGCAAGAAAGTGCCTGGTGGACTTGAGAGGGATGTACACCTGTCTCAGCAGGGCCACAGCAGGGCCGGCAGCAGGGGACTGGTACAGGGTGAGAAGAGAGGCCCAGGGACGTTCAGGCTGTGGGCAGGGCCAGGACAAAGCAGAGTCCGTTTCCCTGATTGGAGGAGCTAGGTGCTGAGGGACTGAAGCCCCAGCCCTGGTTGGCAGGATAGTGGAGCAGGGGTGGGGCAGAAAGGAAAAAGTCCAGGAAGGTGACATGGAATGACAATGAATTCTCATTCATTGGTTGATTTCATGGAGTGCCAGCCTCAAGCGCAACATGGGAAGACTTCCCACAGAAAAGGAGGTCTAAGCTAAGACGGGAAACAGGGAGGGAGAAGAGGAGGAATCACAATAATACCCCCCCCATGAAGCTCTTGCTACAGATTATCTGCCAGGCCCATTAAAGCCCTTCTCTATATTGACCCACTGAGTCCTCAGAACAGTCCTGTGAGGCAGGTTCTATTATTATACCCATTTTATGGATGAGTAAGTGGGGGCTCAGAGAGGTTTCCTCCCTCACTCAAGGCCACCCAGGGGTGAAGGCCTCTGAGCCTGCAGGTGAACAGCGAGCAGCACAGGTTGGAGGGTGGGAGTGGAGGGCCTGACAGGCCCTGAAGCTCACCCCTGGTCTTGTGGGGGTCTGTGTAGGGCAGGTGTCTGGGTAGTGGAAGCACTGAGGCTCACATCTCCCACTGGTAGGGGAGCTGAGGGAGAAAAGATGGCAGATCCACCACTGGCGTGGGAGAGGAAAGCTGAGTCCCACACACTGGCCAGCCCTGCCAGGCCATCTGAGCCTCGTGCTCCCTGAATCTCACTTAGACCTTCCTGGGTCCCCTTTCACTTGGTTTCTTGACAGGCTCCAGGAAGGGTCATGGGGTGAATGGGTTCCCTGTCACAGGCCATCCTCAGGGAGCATCTGGACAAGGGTCGCCCAGGGTCCCTCAAGTCAGAGGGAATGGAAGATGAGGAGCCTTCTGGTGGGTCCCAGCACAGTGACCCCAGACTGTTGGCTTGAGCAAGTCACCAACTGCTCTAACCAGTTAGACAGGGCTGGCTGGTAGTGCATCCCTCTGACAACTCCTACCCTGGGCCTGCTGTGAGGGTCTCATGGGATGGCCTGCAAGGGTTTGCTGGGGACTCACCGCTCAGGTGGTATTCTGCCACGTCGGCCACATCCACGGCCATGATGCCCTGCAGTGGCTGGAACTGGAAGGGAAGAAAGAGTCAGTGCTGAGRGCTGAAGAAGGTCACCAGCCCTATGTCCTGCCTCTGTGGCACCGGTGTGCCGGTCACTCAGAGCTGAGCTTGGCTAAAGGTGTTTTGTTTTGTTTTGTTTTTTAATGATATTTGAAGAAAAAAAAAGGTGTTCAGTTCTCTTTGCAAGCGTGCTAAGACCTCATTTCAGGGTTGCCAGATGAAGCACAGGATGCCAGCAGATCTGAATTCAAATGAACTTTTGGTATAAGTAGGTCCCAAATATCACACGGACATGCTTATGCTAAACAATTACAGTTGTTCATCCTGTATTTCTGTTTGCTGAACCTGGCAGCCCTGCCTCATCTTCATCTTAACACCAGCAGGCTGTTGAGCAGAGACTCCAGGCTGCTCACTTGGGGAGCTCCTCAGAGCGTTCACAAGCCTCACCTCCGATGCTTCTGTCAAATTTGGAAAGAGAAAGTCTGCATTTCCTCCATATTCTGTTCAGTCCTTCCCCTGCAATGGGATGGCTTCTTCCCTGCCCCACCCTCCACCTCCAGGTCATATGAACTACCACTGAGGTCTAAGTCATTCTAGAAAGGCCTGAGAGCCAGACCAGCCATTACCTGAGCCCGGACCACGGCTCACTCATTTATTAATATTGTTGCTAAGTAGGACATCTGGCTCCCAGATGCGTTCTAGGTGGGTGGGTGGGGAGAGCTCTGGAAAAGGGCACTAGGATGGGCTGTACTGATCTCAACTCAGGGGCACAGAAGGCCTGAACAAGCCACCTCCAAACTCTGGGTTCCCTTGCAGCCCAGAGGTGTCTACACCTCAGGAAGCCTCAGGCAAGTAAGGGGGCATGAGTGAGAACTGCAGAGGGCCTGCCTGGCTCCTGGGCAGCAACCTTCCCAAATAGTGGGACTGTCCCACCATCACGGCTGGGTCTCCTGGCTCTTGAAAGAAAAGCCAGATGTTTGGATTTTATTTTATTTTATTGTATTTTTTTAGTGTGTGTGTGTGTGTGTGTAGTTCCTGGTTTTTATTTTATGTACGTATTTTTTTAATTATTTATTGATTTTCTGAGACAGGGTCTCACTGTGTTGCCCAGGCTGGTCTGGAACCTCTGGACTCAAGTGATCCTTCTGCCTCAGGCTCTCAAGTAGCTGTAACCATGGGTGCTCACCACCACACCTGGCTTCCTTATCTTGAAATGTTGCAACCCTCTCACAAAAATCGTCCAGGCGCAGTGTAAAAGGCTCTTGGACCACGGCTCACCAGTTCCCAACCATGCCAAGCATTCTGTAGGCTCCATTTGGAACCAGGGTCAAGACAGAGGGTGAAGCTTAGACATTGTTTTTTTTTTTTTATTATTATTATTATTTAGATGTTGATGGGCCTTTATTTTATTCATTTATTTTATGTGGTGCTGAGAATCAAACCCAGTGCCTCACACATGCTAGGTAAGCACTCTACCACTGAGCCCTAGCCACGGCCCAAGACACTGAGTATTTTTAGGAATCCTGGGGGCTCCCCATTCTGTGGCTTTGGAGCCAAGAAGCTGGGGTGCCTTGGTCTAATCGGGGTTCTCCAGCCCGTACGCAGGTGCCACAAGCCCTTAGCAGAGGACCTCACCATGCAGGGCAGATGAGGGCGCACAAAGGACTCCTGGCTCTCCTGCTCTCCTGATGCTGCCCCCTCTCCTGGTGAGATGAGGGTTGTCATGGTGATGGGAGGCAGTGCTTAACCAGGAAGGCTTCACCCACCCTGCCTTGAGACGCAGTGCATCCCTGGGTCCTGGGCTTGAGATACCACTCAGAGCTGATCTCAATAAGCACTTCTCACAAGCACAGTCCTGAGCATTCTGCATACGCTGACCTCACTCAACCCCATGACAACCCCAAGAGGTAGGCACTGTTGTCACGTCTGGTTTGTAGAGGAGATTGTCAGTGGCACTTCAGGCCAATTCATTCTGGCTCCAAGTTCCTAACCACTGTGTCTCTCCACAGGGGGACACATGGTTACAAAAAAGTTGTCTAAAACCTGCAGGTCAAATGGATCCATGTGAACAAGCCAAGCCCAAGGTGGCCCAGCTGCTGGTGGAAAGAGGTCTAGACACACTGAAACACAACGGAAGCACACACATCCCAGCCTGCCGCTGCCTTGCTGGGAATCCAATAATGCCATGAGCAAGCTTTCCTGCTCACTGGGCACAAGCTGGCTTGTCAAGAAGGCGGCCAGGCTGGTGCCAGTCAACGCCAGCAGCACAGTGGTGAGGTACATGTGGCAAAGATACACCCACGGCACAGTATGAATGGCACAAGGTAGAACCTGAGGCTGTAACTGGCCTCTGGCTGTTGGGGGCTCCCTGTCCAGCCCGATCCCAGAATCCTGAAGGCCCACCTTCCCGCCTCCCCTCATCACAACAGCTTGCCTGGGAGCTGTGACTTTGGGGAGGGCATGAATGCTCACTGGACACACCCCAGATCCCAGCTCCTGTGGTCTGCTGTGGAGGGTTAGAAGCCTGGCCCGCTCCAGGACTCCTACTCAGCTACTCCCAGCTTACTCCAGATCTGCTCCCTTGCTGGCTCAAGTGGCCTTGGACAATTTTCTTAGACTCCCTTCTAAGCCTCAGTTGTCCCATCTGTGAAAAGGATTCATGGCTGCCCTGTGCGTGTGACTGGGGTGGGTAAGTGTGGTAAGGCTTAGCAAGTATTTGCTGCTGGGGTTACTGGCCTGGCCACCRTCCGACAGGCCCCAACCCCACGTGAGCAGTAGAATCACATGGGTGGCACTGTCAGCCTGTGGCTGTTGTTACTTTGTTGAAATTCAGCTGAGTTGTATTTAAATTGGGAAATTTCTAATTAAAATAAATTTAAAGGGAAGGGGGTGGCCTGGGGGTGCAGCTCAGTGGGAGAGCACCTGCCCAGCATRTGGGAGGCTGTGCTCAGGCCTCTGCACTGCAAACAAATAAACAAAAACAAAAACAGAACAAGGATTTCCAGGCAATGGGTCTGCACCTCACCCCCCACCCCCAACAACAGCAGCATTCCAACAGTGACAATGGAGCTGGCATCTGCTCTTGGCCTCAGACCTGGCTCCTCCGCCCCTCCCCCCATTCACTTCCAGATCCTGCTGGGCCCTGGAAGCACCTCTCTTCTTGAGCCTGGTAAACTGGACTTAAGATGAGCTAGGAGACTGTTCAGTGAGGTCAAGTGACGTGTGTGAAGCCTGCAGTGGTGGGCCCTGCCGCCTGGTCCAGCACCTGTTCCACTAGCAGTGACAGCACCCATGCCAAGGACTTCATGTGCATCTTCCCCACCACCCACGACCCCTCTTCAGAAAATCCTGTTATCATCCCTACTTTATAGAGGAGGAAAAGGAGGCTCAGAGAAGGACAGTGAATTGGCCCAAGGTCACCCAAGCATTGAGTGGGAAAAAGGAGGCTGGGCCAGGTCTGGCCCTTCTTTTTTATTTACTTGGTTGTAATTTTGCAGTGCTGGGGATGGAACCCAGGGGCCCTCTACCACTGAGCTACATCGCTAGCCCTTTCTATTTTTATTCTGAGACAGGGTTGCCCAGGCTGGCTTTGAATTCACAATCCTCCTGTCTTATCATCCAGAGTATCTGGACAGGGATACAGTACCAACGCCCCCTCCACGGCAAGTGACCTTCTTAATGGCTTTCCTCACTACTCTGACACCCCTTGGGTCCATCTCACCTCAGGCTCTCTCTGGCAGCCTGGAGGTCGGCCAGGGAGAGGGGTGCAGCTTGGGCTAGGACTAGGATGCTGACAAGACATATCAAAGGCCAAGGCAGCCAGGAACCAGCAGTTCCCGGTTCCGCATGTCTGGCACAAGGCAATGAGCACAGCAGGGAGCTACTCCAGACCCATGCCTGAGCTCCTAAGACTGCACGCCTCCTTCAGCACCTCTCCCCACCTAACCGACCTTCAGTCCCACCATCTACACGGTGGAGTTTGCTCTATGAAAACAGCTCCAGGTTCAATTTCTAGCTCAATGGCACCTACCAGCAATACCTCCTTATTGCTGTGTTCATGTAGGCATGTGTGCTAAGTGTTTAAGGGATCTGCTGTAGGCCTGGGGATTGAATGGACTCTGGATCCCATTTTACAGATGCGGAAGCTGGGGCCCCAGGGCCTTCAGCCTGAGTGGCAACACTGGGCTCCCCGACAGGGAGCTATGGATCTGGGCCTGGGCTCTGAGCCACCATACTGACTCCTGACCAGGTCTTCTGGGGGTGGGGTGGGTGGGACAAGTGACCACCTGGGCTTTGCTGGAGTTTGACCTTACTGGAGGCCCCCTCCTGGGCTTCTAAGAGAGATGGCTTTCCAGGAATTTTTTGCCTTGGCAGAGGAGGGGAGCCTTGTGTCCCTGCTCCCCACTCCACCCATCTCCTTGCTCAATAACCTCAAGGTACCTCTCTGGTCAGCAAGGTGTGCCCCTCCCCCAGCCGCAGGAAATGGAGGATGAGGGTGAGGGGTATGGTGTGGGGGGCTCAACCTTCCAGGCTGTGAACTTCTTCAGGATCTTTAGGTTTGAAAACATTCTCAAGTGCTTTCCAACACTATCTGAGATGACCAACCACATCCTGGTGCCATCCCTCAAATGGGCCACAAAAACCACAGTACAGATTGGCTGGGGCAGGGTGGGGGTGGATGCTGGCTGACATTGGGCACCTACTATGTGCCGCTCACGGTACCAAACACTTGCCTCCTGTTATCTCAGCAGTTCCTCCCTGAGCCCTCTGAGGAGTAAGAAAACCAAGGTGCAGGAAATGACTTGCCTATGGTCACCAGGGCTGTTAGGTCCAGGTTTGGACCCCAGGCTAGGAGTCACCACTCTTCCAAGCTGCTTGGGAAGGCTTTCAGGATTCAGAGTGGGAAGGCTGGGGCTTGGATACTTTCTTGATCCTTCTTTGGACTGGCTGCGTTAATGTGGATGTGTCTCCTGTGTTTTTCTGAGCCTTGGTTTCCCCATTTCTAATAGGAAGTACTATTTCTACCACTCTCCAACTCGCCAAAGTGGACAGAGGGGCTGAATTTGAGTGTGCAGGTTTCCCATGTTCTTCCTGATGGAGGTGGGGGCACAGAGTCCCTCTGCAGCACCGGATCACCAGCCTTGGGCTTAGGGGTCTTCCATCCATAGGCCTGGCTCACCGACCCCATGCCTGGCCCAAATTTACAACCTCGAGCAGGCCAAGGGTCCTCTCTGGCTCTTGACGCAGTCTAGGGCCTTTTGGGGACGGGGTGCAACATGCCCCTCAGAATGGGAACAGTTCCTGCAGACCTAGCGTTCTTGCCTGAGGAATCGCCCAGGGAAAACAGGGACAGTACTGTGGGGGGCTGACCTGGAGCCCTGAGGGGCTGTGCAGCCAGGGCAGGGGCAGGGAGWACAGTCAGGGCGCTGAGTGTGAAAGTGAGGGCCGTGGTGCCGCGCGGGCGCAGGGGAGGTGTGTAAATAGCCGRGTGAGCCGCGTGTGTGCACACGCGTGCGGGTGTTCGGGCGCAAGGCGGTGCGCAGTGCGCGAAGTGGCTGGGCCGGGTAAGGGCGCCGTCGTGCTCTGTGCCTGGCGTTGGTGTGCGAGCGCAGCGCTGGGGTGCAAGCGCGCGGAGTGAGCGGGGGACCCCGGGTCCCAGGGAGAGGGACTGCGTGCGTCCGCGCGCTGGGCTCGGATCCCCGTGGCGCGCTGGGGTCGGCCCGGTGCGTACTCACCCRAGGGGCCGCCGCTCTGCCTGGGGCTGACTCCGGCTCCCGGGTCCCGGCCGGCCTCCTGCAGCAGCGCACGCACCGGCGCCAAGCCCGGCAGCCCGCGGCAACGCCACGCCTGCAGTGTCTCCTGGCGCCCGCCTCGGAGCAGCGCGGTGCGGGCCGGGGGCTCTGCCGGGCCGGGGCGGCGGACGGGAGCTGCGCCGCAGTCCGGGCACGCTCCCAGGAGCCCGCCGCGCGCTCCCTCGCGCTCACCCGCCCGCCAGCTCCGTCTTTAATTTAAAGTGACAACCCCGAGCGCTCTCTCCACTCCGGGGAGCGGCGCTGCCGGGGTCTGAGCCGGAGATGCTCAAGCGCGGCCGGGGGTCCCRGGTGAGGAGCGCCCAAGCCCAAGCTCAACCTCTGTCCCAGACCCCGGGATGGCGAGGGGTGGGTCTTCACAGGCTCACCAGAGCCTCTGAGAGGGTGGTAGAGCACTGGACGCAGACGCGGCAGGCCTGCGTTCTAGCTCCAGCCTGCCGCGCCCCGGGTTATCCTGCTCCCTTTCTAGACCTCAGGTTCTTCATCCGTAAAACGGACCCGCTGTTGCCACCTCCCGGAACCCAAAGGAAACAGCCCGACAGGCAGCGCAGCGGGAAGGTTCCCTTCTTTGAATGGGTAAGTGGATAATCCACGCCCCCTCCACGATTGAGCTGTTATCCTCGCAGGCCAGATCCAGCGCTGGTGGCTCACAACACCATCTCTTAACCCCATCGTGACCTAATCAAATCCTAGTCACGCCATTGTCATTAACAGGACTCAAGCGATCAAGGTCACACGGTGCCAAAGGTCAGGGACACAGCATGAACCCAGGTTTGTGTGACTTTAATACCCTCCCTCTTAAACTCTTAAGGGTCGTGCTTTCTCTCCCAAAGGAATGAATGAATCATTCAGGAGATACTTAAGACGCCCCCGCTGGCCGCTTGGCATTGTGCCAGGTGTGGGCGATCTTCCATCTTCCGGGAACAGGGGGACAGGTCCCTCTCTGCCCGCGCAGTCTGGCAGGAGACACGGCACGCATCAGGAGGGGCTGGGTGTGCGGGGGAAGGCGCCACGTGTTGTGAGCCCAAGTAACGAGGAGAGCAGGCTGGGTGGGCACCTGGAGAAGCCTCTGGGAGGATCTGGGGTCTGGTGGGGAAGGCCGGTGAGGATCCCAGACGTAGAGCCAGTGTTCGAGGGCGATCGCGCTTCCTGGACTATCTCAGCTCTGGCCTCTGGATCTGGGAGCAGCCTGTGGGCAGAGCCTTCTCAGTAGAGGCCGAACCTGTGCTGGTTGTGGAGAGTGAGCATCCTGGGTCTGGAAGGCAAGACCTTGGGGACTAGGACAAAGAAAGGACTGCAGGTTCACCCTCACCGATAGGGGGCGCCCTGGTTTTCATGACATTTCTTGAACCTGGAGGAGAATGGACAGAGTGCTTTAGTTATGTCCTGGAGCTGGGGAGGGGCTGGGTGCCAGACCAAGGGCTTTCACAGTTTCCATTTAATATCCACTTCCACCAGCAGCTTCGGTAGACTGTGCCCATTTTCTAGAGGACAGAGGACACCTGAGTCCTGCAGAATGCCTGGGTTTTCTTTTGGGAGGGAGTGGGGTATTACACATACCATCCACATAAAAGAGCAGACTTGATAAGGGCTTCTGTAGGGTCAAAAAGTGGTAAAGTTGAGGTTGGTCCAATTCTGATGTGCCCCTGGGGAACTGGAATGAGTGTGAGATGAAATCTTGTCCATTTCATGTTTAAAATCCTCCAATGACCAGAAAAGCAAATGCATGTGCACCAAAGACAGACCTAGAGTGTTCACAGCAGCCTCCAACTGGAGACCACAAACTCCTACCAGCAGTTGAAAGTGCAGATGTCCTCTGGTACCTACAGCCACACCCTGGAATACCATGCAGCAAAGAGGAGAAGCAGAACCGTAGCTGCTGATGAGCGACAGGTGAACCTCACAACCATGACACTGAGTGAGAGAAGCCAGATACCAAAGGACACATGTTGCTCAATTCCATTTTTAGGAGATTCAGAAACAAGCAAAACTACTCTGTTCTGTTAGAAGTCAGGATAATGGTTCTCATGGGATTGGGGTCAGGAAGGGGCCCGAAGAGGGTGCTAGGGTTGAGTATGGTTCCAGTGGTCCCCTAAGAGTTCGTATGTTGGAGGTATGGTCTTCAGTGTGGTGATGTAAGGGTGGTGGGACTTTTACAAAATGGGACCTGGTGGAAGGTCGTTGCCCTTGGAAGGGATAAAGGGGTTGTATGAGACACTGGTGAATTTTCTTGAAAAGGTTGTTATGGAGGAGCAAGACTGTGGTCTCCCAGGTCTCCTTAATTTCCTGTCTTGCCATGCAATCTCTCTGTCTCCCATGATGCCATCTGCCATGATGTGACATAGTCAAGAAGAGGCCAAATCAGTGGGGCCACCCAATCTTGATCTTTCRGTCTCTAAAACCATGAGCGAAATAAGCCTCTTTCCTTTATGCACTATCCAGCCTCTGGTATTTCATTAAAGCAACAGAAAATGTACTAAGACAGGGGAATTCTGGGGTGCTGCTCATATCCTGGCTGGGATCTCAGTGCAGGTCTCCCAGGTATGTTTGTCATGTGAAAATTCATGGCATTGCACACTTCTGACTTGTACGCTTCTCTTCATGTGTGATATGATTCAACACAATTTATACAAACACCTCGTGTGTGTGCAGGCTGCACTGGAAATAGAAGCCAAAAGCCCTCTGTGGTCCACGAGGCCCTGCGTGATCTGGCCCTCCTGGCCTTGCTCGGCTGTCGCACTGCCCCTCACCCACCAGGCTCCAGCCGCCTGCTCCTTCTGTCACTTCTGACACTTGCCAAGCTATTTTCCACTTCAGGGACGCTCACTTGCTGGTCCCTCTGCCTGGAAAGCATCTTCCTTGCTGTGGCCACGACTGTATCTTCTGTCTTCCATGCTTCACCCTAAAGAGGTCACTCTTCCAGAGAGGCCCTCCTGACTACCCACCTTGAGGAGCATCTCCAGCCCCACTAACGCTTCCCACCGATCACGGTTTAGTTAAAACACAAGCTCTTCTGGGTGCAGTGGCACGTGCCTACGACCCAGCACTCATGAGACAGGCTGGGGGTCATAAGTATGTGCTAGCATGTGCAAGGACTGGTTTCAATTCAAAGCACCTAAAAATCAAAAACAAAAATAAGAACTTCTTGGGCTGGGGATGTGGCTCAAGCGGTAGCATGCTCGCCTGGCATGCGTGCGGCCCGGGTTCGATCCTCAGCACCACATACAGACAAAGATGTTGTGTCTGCCAAAAACTAAAAAATAAATATTAAAAAATTCTGGGCTGGGGGTGTGGCTCAAGCGGTAGCGCGCTCGCCTGGCATGCGTGCGGCCCGGGTTCGATCCTCAGCACCACATACCAACAAAGATGTTGTGTCCGCAGAGAACTAAAAAATAAATATTAAAAAAAAAAAAAATCTCTCTCTCTCTCTCTCTCTCTCTCTCTCTCTCTCTCTCTCTCTCTCTCTCTCTCAATAAATAAATAAATAAATAAAAATAAGAACTTCTAGCTATAGTCTGCAATGATCTTATTATGTCTTTGTTGATAGTCATTTTCTGTAACCCCCACAAGACTAATAATTGAAAACAACATGGCATCCTTACTATTAGGTTAGGGCCAATGGCTTTTTAAAACCAATTTAAGGCATTGATTCCTCACCCCAAAACTTTGGGGAAACACTATTCTTAGCTCCATTTTAAAGTTCAGGCACACAGGGCTCAGAGATGTTATGTAACTTGCTCATGGTCACACAGCTGGGAAGCAGTGGAGCCAGGATTTGAACATGCACAGCTTTGGCTCCAGAGTACTTGCTGTTAAATTTACACTTGGACAGACTTTGTCAATCTTCTCTGTTGTTGTATAGCTGGGGCTGTCCAGGGCATCTGGGATCTGCTGGGATGCAGTTGGAATGCAATGAGTGTTTGCTGGGAGGACATGTGAATGAGTGAGTCGAGGAAGCACTGAAGGATGAGAAGTGGGGTGGGGGTAGCTTGAACCCAAGTGAGTGAGAGGAGAAAAGCCGTGGTATCTGGAGTCTCACCAGCAGCTAACAACAGATGGAAGTCCCGAGACAACTGGAATTACCCACAAACCCTGGTCAGGGGCAAGGCCTGGCATGGGCCTGGCAGCACTTGGCCTCCCCTGCCAGGCACAGAGACTGTTTCCAGAGGGGCCTCTGCCTGGAGTCCCTGCCGTGTGTAAGCCGCTGGTAGGTGATGCTACCCTTCAGGTACCCAGGCTGCAGGGACCCCAGAGAGGTGATATGAACTACCTGCCTCTGGCCAGAGGCTCTCAGACCTTTGGAACCTCCCTAGGATTAGGAAGGTCCCAAGTGACTTAGAATCCAGGCTGTGGCTGTGGGACCAGTCAGCGAAGACCACAGCGCTGGTGAGTCATCCTTCTTGAGCTGCCTTTCTGTCCTCAAGCCCCAGGAGCCGGGGCCAGCTGCATCGCTACTTCCTGGCTGTCCTGGTGGCAATGTCCGTGGCTGTCCATTGACCTGGAGTGAACCCATATGCACCGCCTCCCAGTGGGTATCCTCCTCATTCTCCACTGGSCTCCAGGACAATTGAGACAGGTTCCTGAGGACTGAGGACACCCCAGGTGTGGCACTGCACTGAGGTCTGGGCCCCTGGGGGTGCTTTGTGCAGTCCGCCTTAGGTAAAGACAAACAAAGGCATAGAGAAGGGCACGCCAGGCCAGTCGTGACCACAGGTTACAGCGTTCCAAGGCAGGACTGCTGGATTGTGGGCCCCAGGGACACTGCTCTGGCAAGCAGCTGGCTATTTTCCAGGGCCTGGCTTAGCTCATGGGGCTCTGGTCACTTGTCTGCCCTGCATCCCCTGCAGGCTGGACTATTTAACTTTTTTTTTTTTTTTTTTTTTTTGTACTAGGGATTGAACTCAGGGGCCACTCAACCACTGAGCCACATCCTCAGCCATTTGTATATTTAATTTAGAAACAGGGTCTCACTGAGTTGCTTAGGGCCTTGCTAAATTGCTGAGGCTGGCTTCGAACTCACGATCCTCATGCTTCAGCCTCCTGAGCTGCTGGGATGACAGGCCACAGTGCCCAGCTTAATTTTTAGAGAGG